CCCTTTCACCAACCTGAAAATATCCCAAATCTCGTCGTGGTGAGCAGTAAGGCAGTGTGGCGCTGGGATTTAGTTCACTTATAAAATAAAGACGTCCGGCCTTTAAAATGACGTTTTTGATCTGGTGTCTCTTGAAAATAAACGCAGGGCTACTCAGAAATGAAGGCTTCGCGCCCGGTCAACATGGTATTTTGGTGCTCCTCAGCACCAAAATCTCGTGGGACCCAAGGGACGGGGCACCGCCCCATGCCCCTCCCCCACTCTGGACCTGCCTTGCAGATAATTATATCACCGGCTTGTGCCGAGTGTTTAACGACGCAGGGTGAATGCTAGTGAGGACAAAATAAAACTGGCTGAGAAAACAAGGAAACATTCATCGCCCAGCGCTGGTGGGCCGCTTTGTAATATTCAGCTTGACCAGGATTTCATGGCTGCTCCGTGTTCGCTTTCGCTGATCCCCGAGCCGTAATAAGCCAAAACTCCGCAGAAGTCTTGAAAATGAAATAAAAAGCTTAAGCTCGCAAAACCATGACAAAAAAGCTAGCTTCAACAACAGGATTTACAAGAAGAGCTTTGGAACAAAGGAAGATCGAACACGCGATATGCCTACCCGCCTGTAGGCAACTTCCTCTAAGCATAGCGCATCATGTAAAGGACAATTGTGTAAATTTGTCATGAACCTGTTTGCTGTAATGTTAAGCACTGCAGATTTATGCTGAAAAAATAACGAGTGGGTATGATAGAGAATAGATGGCTAGTGCTATCTTTGTCAATATGTGTGCTAATCATAAGTCTTTTTCTTGATGATCCTGATGTTCTTGAGGCGAAAAATAAGTTCATTTTTATTCAGCCTTCTCCTTCGTATATGACAGAAATAAAATATTGAGTATACTAGTGTGCCAATAAAACACGTTGTCATCCCAAGTTCCAGTCTTCATACAACAGGTTTTCGACCACTCGTTTTAGAAAGGAACACGTCATCTCGCAAGCGAATTGTTAAGGACTCAGAACAGGACATATCGGAGTTCCGTGAGTTTTGTGGCGGAGGTGTACGGGTGCGCAGCATGCACACAGAATATCTCCAGGGCTGGAAATTAGATGGCTAAGTTCTACCGGGGTACGGTAGCTTCATTTGGGGAGGTGAATGACGTTGGAATGCTTTACGATTTTGAGACTTTGGCTCAGGCATTAAAAAACACTCATGTTTTGGGTGGAAACCGGTCACAACACGCCGGGTTACGCGCCTAGGAAGTTTGCATTCCCGACCTTTCTTGGCTTATGCAACCCTGCGTCGCATTTGAGCTTAGTTTCACTAAAGCTGAGTAGCGTGGCTTCCCAGTCTAATGGTGTACGTAATGGCTCGACAACGTTGACATCGCTGAATGGTTTATGGACGGTGCACTTCCAACATCATACAGCTAATCTCACATTTCTACCTGCTCTGGTTGTCGGGATTTAACAACAATCCTTAAAAATGTTCTCGAATGGGGATCGATGGTAAGGGGAGACTGGGCGTGTGATAGTGCACATATTAATCTAGACCTGCGCCAAAACTATTGATTATAGTCTCCTTCATCAGTTGCGTCTCATACCGTTGCGATGCCTGCTCGCTGAGATACGGGTCTGTTTTGACCGGAAGAATTCAGCTCTTTTGTCATCTGAAGCTTTGCGTTTCCTTTGTAACAAGTGGATATTGAAATAATGGTGATGTTTTAAAGTTGCAGTTTGCGCTGTTGATAAAACGACCTGCTTGTAAATGCCTTGAAAATGTTGCGATGCAATTGTAAAAAGTGTGAGATTTTGCTGACAGTGTCATGGATGTTCCATTTGTGGTTGCGAAGACATGGTCTCATCAAAAGGGTTACTGGACGAGCTGTGTTGGCCCGCTAAGGTCATAAAGTTTCCGGTTAGTTGACATGTAAGGAAATATGTTGTTTTTCAAGGGACTGAATTAACTCTAAAAACAAGTAGATAAACATTTGATGGGTTCATTGGTAGCATCGTCTTTCCGAAGATATATGTATCCACAAGAAATAATATTTTAGAATACGGGATGATATCGTCGTTCGCTCTCTGCAAAATCGACTTGCACAACGCTGTCCATCTCCAAGACGTCAACACGATTAGTCCATCTGAGGCATTTAACGTGCAAAGTATAGCGTTTTTTGTTCGCAACCGGATAACTTATATGCCTTGTTATAACACTATATGCTTTCTTATGTGGAATGCGTAATCCGTTCCAAAAAGGATGATGAAGTCAACTGGTTCGTGAAGAGGGATCACACAATACCAATTATTTGGTTTCATTTTCTTCCTACAGGTTTGACAGCTGCCTGCATTCCGCCGATACTAATTACTAATATATTTCATTTCATAAGAGTGGATTAGCTCTTATCGTGCTCTGACTTAGTTTCCGCTGAAATGAGTCCATACGATAACATTCCATTTCTCCGAGGAGACCCGCACAATATCTGCAGCTCCCGCTTGCCCTGTAACTTCGCTCGTAACTGTTACGCTAATCATATCCTTAATGCAGTCGCGTCCCTCATCACTATACAGCGTGCATTCCAATGCTTGATAAATGATAAATGTTAGACGCCTCGGGTGGTGTGGGACGAGCGAGGCAATTATACAGGTTGCCAGTTAGTATGTAGATGATGCCAAAGGCCATAGCTTTTGGCATCATCATCACATAGTTCCGAGCGCTGCACGAACGTTTGCAGTAAACGCGCCCCCCAAAAACTCCAAATCCTCATTATCATCACACGGTAACTAAGCCAGGCACGTTCGGTAAATGCCATCAACAGCTCAGATATTTACGGTTTAGGTGCCGCTCAGCGTACCCTTCTCACGGGATATACATTCCAAAGACATGGGCCGCCTTGCGTTCCCGTTGTTGCGAGCTAGGTCCCAGCCCGGGTGATCTCACTTGAACGATGAAAAAGGAAAATTCTATCAGAGCGGCCCGGCTTGTCCGTCACGCCTTCTAGAAGCTAAGCTCTTATCAACCGTTGCTCGCACCGAGTGTGCAGCATGAGTCCTGATCCCGCTGTCCGACTGCGAACACCCGGATCAAAGGCGGCGATAGCCTAGCGTGCGAGAGCTTACCATGCCGCAATGCTCGGCGTGGTATGTGCATCCTGCGCTCTGACATTCAGCGCGTCCGCTGCTACCGGGCACAGGCCATCCGAGTCAGAGGCAAAAGCAAGCGCCTGAAACGCCTCCGACGCATTCCATCACTGGGGGGTGACTCGGAAGGCAGGCGCTCTAACCAACTGAGCTATCGGGACGGATAAAGCTCCTCTTTGACGCAGTAGCATGCGTCACCACTTGCTAAACAGTCCTCGAATACAGCACGATGTGACCAAAACCGGAAATGGTACGGTCATGAAAAATGCACGGGTGCATAGTCTCATTTGATGCCTACAATTGCCATATAAAATATTCGCGACCTTTGCAGTACGTCGGCCACAATTGGCGAAATCAAAGATTTTTGCGTACTCAACAATTTTCGTGCCTGATCATGATCAAAGCCACCCATTTTGCAAGCAATGTTAGACGTACATTATTCCGCGAATGTTAGATGGATGGACTACGGCTCTGCTGAGTGGACACTGCTACCTTGGGGATTTATCTCGAACGCTCTCTGTAATTAACTCGACATGTCCCTCATTGCTTTTTAGCACAGTCAAAACGTGGTCAGAGCACAAACGGTCACAGCAAATAGTGACACTTTTTTGTTTGGAACAGAGCTCAGAAGGAGTCAGCTCACTAATTTGATCCTTAGATGATTGCACTGTCGGTGATGTGTCTTCAAACGTCTTTCATGTTTTTCTTCCATGTGATGTATGTCTCTTTCTCGTCGGTACAATGTTAAGCGCCTATATCGGTATGTGGCTGCAACGTCAATGTAAACTATTCGACGAAACGTCTCCAAAAATGCAAACATCGTAAGGACCTGCCACAAACAGCCTTGCTTGTGGTATTTGCGTCTCTCGTGTGCCACCTTAAAATCATCGGTATAAAAAAACTTTGAAATGGTCTGCGGAGAGAGTATTGCGCCTTATGGAATGAGCTGTTTCGTTCTGTCTATTCACCTGAGAGAATGGAAAGGTGCACGGGTTTGTGTGTCATAATTTTCAAAAACCTTGCGATCTTTTTATGCAGTGTGCTGACAGTCGCTTTAAACTTTTCCCAAAGATGTAAACAGTCGTTTCTGAAACGTTCACAGAGAATATGTGACCTAACGCTTTGGTAACTTGATCCTTTGCTTGCCGAGCGAAGTTAAGGTCGCTCGAGCGTGCACGCCCTCTGGGCTTCACCCATGCCTGGAATAAAATAAGATCTGTCGACTGTGACCAACAATATATATATATATATATATATATATATATATATATATATATATATATGCACATATACCTATATATACACACACATATACATATATATATATATATATATATATATATGTATATAATTATGGTCATATGCTACCATATTGCAGCGAGCCGTTAGAGTTCTCTTCGAAATGGTATGAAGACGGTTGCACCATTTCGTACAGACAAAACTGTTCAACATTAAATCTGCGTCGGGTGTTACGTAGTCCGTCCTCACAACGCATAACATATTTTAAAATTAGGGTATGTTTGCATTAAGCCTCAATTAAATTGGCATGTTTCCTGCATACCACTCCATTTTTGTCTGAGCATCTCTGAACTGCATCTTTGTTCCACACCCTCCACGAGCAAACAAATGGCGCATCGGTCATCGAGAGTACAAGTAGGTAAAATGGATGGATGCGGTGCAATCGACCGGTGCATTTTTTCTCTCTCTTGTTGGTTGGATAATGGTTTGTCCACCGATAATATTAAGTTCGTTCGCATGTCTCACCCGGCATAAAATACGCACCGACACATATTGCGGTGCATGTGTGTCGGTATGCATTTGAACAAGAAAGGAAATGTATATTGTTTGAAACCAGCAACGCTGCCCCTCGATTTATCATCTGATGTACAATGAACGGCACGAACGAGTTAGCTCTATCCACAGACGGCCGCCGCGGGAGCCCCATATCTCGATGTAATCCGATTCTCGCACATTCATCACGGAAACAGTTCCGTGTATGGAGGAATTCTCTTACGCCTCCCTTAAGACTTTTATCATACATCAGGTCCCATTTGCGGGTCCTTTTTAGCTGTCGGCATCCCGAAGCAATTATGCTAGTGCATACTTATGGGCTAACTGGCTGAACAAGAGATGTCAAAGTTACAACCAAAAGGCCCACGCGAGCAGCAAAAATTATATAGACGCAGCAGTCACTCTACCAAGCATATTTCTGGGTAAAGGGTTAGGTCTTGAAACCACTGTTTCGTTTGGAGCTGATCTCTGCAACCAAAATTTGCCTGGAAAACTTGAAACACGGTTTGCCTTGACCTGTTACAGTATCACAGCATGCGACAATCTATGTGTGCCTTGTATGTCATGTGTCCACGTGTCGACGTTCTGCGAGCTTGCGCCATTTCTGACGTCTTTGCGACTAAACATCGGCTAAGTAGACTGGTGCATCGCTTCCACACTGAACTGACGCTTTGTTCGCACCACTTGGCATCAAGGCGCCTCGGTTCGCTGGCAGTCGCTCCGTCGGTCCGTCGCTCCGTCGCTCCGGCTCCCCTCTCCGCATTTGTCGCGGGTCAGTTGAGATTCAAGCAGCCGCCATCCACCTCTTGTGTTCCCGGGGGGCAGGCGTTATCGTTCATCACGTCGTGACAGCAACCGGAGCCACAGGGCGACAGCCCGAAGGCGCAGCCACGCCGCAGCAATCTAAAAACACGTTTCATCTGCGATGCCACTTCGATGGGCGCCGGAGGCGGAGCGAGAGAGAAGTAGTACGGGCCAGAGGCGCTGCTGGGGTCTTGGGCCGTGTCGTCAGGAGTCGTCACGTTCATGTTGACGTAGTAGTTGGGCGCTGTGTCCGAGTCAGTTGCCGCGGGCTGCGGCATCCCGTGCGTCAGATCCAACAACTAGAACAGGAAAACGACGCAGTCATAAGCCAAAGTCGCCAGTGCTCCGTCATTGTGCGCACCGCGACGAGCAGGAATAATGCCTGAAGCCCTGCTAAGGACGGCGTCATTGGCGCAAGCTACCCCAAGTCATCGGTGTGTCGTAAACCCCTGGTCAGCACGGCTGAATGATAGACCATACCCTGGGCTTCCGTCCCTGTGGATGATGACAACGGTGGCCCCGCTCTACACAGTGACCATGCGGCCTATATTCTGGGACAGGGATATGGCGTTACGGAACGCAGCGATGGTTGCCGGTAGGCCCGACACGCAGCGCCCAGAAGAGCTCCGCCTCCACTTCCCCCCTGGGCATGCGTACCTCCCCGTGGGCCCTACTGCGCGACCGAGCGCCCCCCCCCCCCCCCTCCTTCCTTCCTCCGGGAGCCGGCTGACCGCTCCAGCTCCACTAGACCAGCCGGCCTCCGCGTCTTATGCCACCTCAGCGGTGGCCAGCCTCACTCCGGCGCCCCCCCCCCCCCCTCCTCCCTTCCCCCGGGAGCTGGCTGACCGCTCCAGCTCCACTAGACCAGCCGGCCTCCGCGTCTCTTGCCACCTCAGCGGTGGCCAGCCTCACTCCGGCGTCCCCCCTGGTGCGGCACTGCAGTTGCGCACTGCACCGGCAGTGGAGTGAGCACTCGATTCATGATATCGCTCGTGTAAAGACAAATTTTCTCAATAGGGCGAACGCGAAGTCGGCTTATACCTGACGCTCGGGGCTTGCCCGTTGTAGCAAGGATGCTCGCAGGTCGCATGGATTTGGGATCAAGCGGTGCTTATAAAGCACAGCTGGGAGTAACGCTCGTCTCACCCGTCGTGGCGACGATCAAATGAGATATCCCACGTTTTCTGTGCTATTCATTTTTTGTTGCATCAGACACGTACAATTTGATCCGTAATACCAGCTTTCTCGAAATCCTGAATAGGTCAGAATCGACCCAGGGGAGAAGAAATCTCATCTTACTCCGTGCGGATAACTATGAAAGTAATGCATATGATTTATCTTGCTTTTCCAACGTCTGCATTCTGTAATGTTCGCAACACACTAATGTGTCGGGACATTTGTGCAATAAGAGCTATGAAAGCTTTGACAATTTTGTTTGGACAAAGATATATGCAAACATGAAGCTGCTATCCCGCGAATTCAACGAAACCATATATTATTGCATTGCTTCTTTCCTTCCTTCCGATTACCTCAGTGACTTTTTAGGCGCGTTTTGGTTTTGGGAAATGGATTATCAGCAGCGTAATTCAAGCCAGAAAATAGTTAAAATTGATATCCTTAGCATGCCGTGACCATGCTTGCAGTGGCTACCCGGTGCTATCACTGGACGTAATTGGTCCATAGGTTTCACTCGAGTATGCCTTTGCAATATGTTTCAAAGGTGGAAAACTCCTTTGATAATATATACGTAAGGGGCATTCAGTGCGGCGATGGTAACTCAACTGAACAAATACATAAAGGAACAAGATTAACAGGTGCAGCCTGAGAAAAAACATTTTTATTTTTTTTAGCTTAAAAAACTGGGCAGGATGCCAATGATCTGCCATGGAAGAATTTGTTGAAACATCGTGGCCAGATCTAAAATGGCTGTGAGCTCGGGTGATTTAAAGGGAAATATAGAATGATGGGCAAGTTGGCCGAACAAGTAGTTACTAGGCCTGGAAGTAAAGGTACGCAAGGCACTATGAAATACCATTTGACAAAACGGGTGGAGGATATTCGGCAACGAACGGTATCAGCATCGTAAACCGGTACCTGTCGGCGTATATCCCAGCTGCGAACACCTCGGAGGACAACGCTGCCTCGCACCGTGTAAGACACCCTAAGCATCACTGCTAAAGAATCTGCTTTCCGTCAAAGAACACGCAATGCTCTTCTCTTTGAAACCATGCGTAAGCAAATTTAGTCAGTCGCTGAAACAAGTATTTCCTGTACCCCTTGTTATGTGCTTTGGTTGCAACTTCCATGCCGGCATTGTGCACCTATGTATTAGTCAAGGTGTTTTGTTGGTAAATCCTATGACAGTGTTGCGCGTCTATGTGCTATTGGAAGTAGCAATCCGCGAAATGATTCAACATCACTTAGTGCCCCAATATTCCATAACCATAGTTCTCGACCATTTTATCATGGAAAGCTCGTGGTTACAAAAGAGTACCTAGCGGTCGTTGTTGGCTGTTCCCTGACTAAGCAGCCACGTTTCATGCGGTGTAGAATACTCCGAGACCACAGTGACTACCGCCACACCTGTAGCAGAAAATGCTCCGTCCGCAGCGGTGACGGTCCGATTGAAGTGAGATCTCAAGGCCGAAATCGTTGCGCATTGTCCAAGCGCCTCACAGATGGGTACAGCTCACCTGCAGGAGAATGCCGACGGTCCACACTGAGGCGATCATAGCGGTGGACTGGCGGCAGGTCGCGGCCGGCTGCTGAGGCTCGCAGATGGCTCTGGTTGGTTGGAGATTCCACGGTAGGCAGCGATTATTTGAAGATTACCCTTCCACAGCAGCGCGGTCGGCAAGCTTGAATGCAGCGCAAAGCCAGCCGACGTAAAGCTGAGGGGACCGATGCAAGCCGCACTGCTGCGCCGATGTAACGGTTGAGGGGACCGATGGAAGCTGCATTGGTGCGCCGATGTAACGGCTGAGGGGACCGATGCAAGCTGCATTGGTGCGCCGATGTAACGGCTGAGGGGACCGGTGGAAACTGCATTGGTGCGCCGACGTAACGCTTATTGCTTTTTAAAGTTTGGAGAATGTTGCATTGCAATTCGCTGTTTTTGATAAAACGACTGGCTGTGTTCAGCGAAGCTGACTGTCGTCTTGCTTTTATCAATGGTGACCCGAAGCGCAAAAAGACAATTGTTTGCACAATAGTGTGATCGACGGAACCAGCTGCTTTTAAAGTCGTATGCCCTCACACTTTCAGAATGTACCACTCTTATAAAAAATGAAACTGGACCGCACGACTTGCTCAACGAATGTATAGATAATTGGAAAGACATAGAAGGTACACGCTGGTACGGTCACCACAGTGACCAACCAAACAGAAAAAACCTACGCGCCCAACGCTTTGCCGCGGTCGGTGGCAGCGGTCGCCCAGCCGGTCCGGTGAGATCAGAGAGAATGGTGGACCAGGCACAGCATCGCAGCACGTCACGCTTTCGCGGCAAATTGCTTCCCGTGAGCCGGAATATGACGCTCCAATGGTAGGACCAAGGCTCGTGCAGTGAGTAGTCCTGAGCGTGGGCGCTCATCACAGAAATACATCCATTCAAAAGACTCGGACTAAATCTTTAAAAAAAAAAACACTCACGGCCGCTCTCACAATAACGTACTACAATAAGCCAACACCAAGACTACTAAGAAAGACGTCCTTGTATTACAAATGCGGAGAGCGGCGTGTGTGTCTGGTGATCTTCAGTCGTGTGAGCGCAGTGGTGCTAAACGTGTGAAGGGATACCCGGAGCACTAAGTATGGTCTCTCGATTGGATAGCAAAATCTCGGTTTAACAATACAACAGTGGCAGGTTCGCAAAGTCGTTAGAAGAGCAAGCAAGCAGACTGTCTCTATGTGAAGGTTTACCATTTATAAAGGGTGACCTAGACCATAATTTCATCCATATTGTGCTGAACTCTCGACAGTGGCAAGCGTATTCCTCGCACAGTTAATCACTTGTCGATTTCATTCCTTCCAGATTTCCATTTTATTCCCCAATAGTTTCAAATGTATCTTTTTCATTTTTTTTTTGTCCCAGCATTCCCTTTTTGCTCAAATGCATTGAGGGAACTCAGAAGAGTATTGGGGACGACGTCTCAAGTCAGTATTGGGGGATCTCAGGCCCCTTAAAAGTGAAAAAAGTGACGCCCCTGCTTTCGATAATTATGTTTTTGATTTCACCTGGCAGTTTATGGCTCAACTCGGCAGAACATACTTAAGTGGTTTGGCATAGCTTCACAATGACAGATGTCTCACACTCCCATTTTGGACCCGAATTACCAACGATTCGAGAAAGGGGAGTGAAGTTGTTGTGAACTTGATACTTGCCTGTCCGAAGTTAACCGAAAATTTTCCTCTTACGTAAGCCTAAGAGATTATACGAGCGGAACATAAATCTTCGGGTATTAATTTCTGGGCGGTTTTGGGGTAAACCAATTTAGAGGGATGCCTAGGCTTGTCTTTGACTCTCCACCTTTCCACTGAGGTCGCCAATATCTGCCTGAATGTCTACATCAACAAACTGAGCGTCATCGGTAGGCATGATAACTTGTCCACGCTGAATAAAAAGCCAGATTATAACAAATCGGTCCTAAAATGCTTGCCTGAACGACGTCATGCGTGATCGGAAGCAAAATTTTGCCCCCTAAAACACGCTGCGAACGACCCTAAATCAGCCGCAGAACCAGTGGCCACCAGCCCCGCGTCATCAAAGCTTCGCCAGGGAATGTTCAACATCGTCAAAAGCTTTCGATGCATCCCAAGTTGTCGGCGTCCCAATAAGGTCAATATCAATGCTGCTGGCTGACAAGTTGACTGCACTTCAGCATCGCCGATTCCGTGGAGTGACCTGGGTAAAAAGCATGTTGCTTGCGACATTAACGTGTTGTTTTGACAGGTATGATACAAACTGGATGCGGACTATTCTCTCGAAGAGTTTTCCTATCACTGGCGGGATTGGAGACGGACGAATGCTATTTGGGTCTTTCTGATCTGCACATAGATCATAGTAGTAATAGCCTTATTCCTCGGAGAAAAAAAAAACAGGAGAGTGGAGATATACACATGTTACTGTACCCTGTCTTATCTTAGTGCAAAACGTGCCTCGCAAATGCACTCAACAGCTTAGGAAATCTCTGATCGGTACTCTCAACCAACGGCGTCAGGGCAGTTGTTTTGCACGACCACGTTACATCTCCTGACAGCTCAGCGACAAGCGGGCCTTGAAGCGGGCGAGCGACGGCTCAGGGAGTACTGCAGGTATCCCGCGGAAAGAACCCACGCGCACATGTTGGGGGAGGGGGGGGGGTTGGGGGGCAGGGCGGCAGTCTTCCCCACACTGGCGGCTGTGCTCAACGTCTCAGCCGTGTTATACCCCACACACGTGAAATGCTGGCTCAGGTGATGCGCCCACGCGGAATCAGTGGTGTTGGTGACAATAGCTTTAGGCTCCCCCTTTTTGGCAAAAACAATGAACTTGCGTATAGAGTTCCAGTGAGCGTTCTTCAACTTAACCAATGTTCGCTTAAAATAAGAAGATTTGGTGTCGGAGAGCCCTTGACAGCGGTTTTTCCGGCTTAGTTGGCTGTGTTCCGCGAAGCCCTCAGAATAGAACCGTGCATCGGGATGTGCAAGCTAAGATGACGTCATTTTTGACGTCCTCCAGTGGCAGTGTCTGCACGGATTCGGAGCATGTTCTGGATTCCCCGTGTCTTTATTTTCAAGTATAATCTTTCGCTTAACTTTGCTCCATCTTTCTGGCATGTAATCATAAGGCCAGCTTGAGACGTCGAGAACCGCCAAATGTTGGCACTAAACGCAGCTTAACCAGCATCTTTAACGTCGATAACTCAGCAGAAAAACTCTGAACTCATAGAACGCAGAACAGCTTGCTGTTACTTGTACTAATGTGCCACGAAAATAAAAGAGCCCATGCAAACATTCCGTATTACATTCTCATCCAGTGGTCACGAGAAAGAAGGGAAGCGCAGGAGAACGCTGCGACAAAGTGGCCTAGTTAGATAACAAGGAACAAGTCTCTAACGCGAAGCTGTTGTTTAACGGTAGCTAATGCATTGCTGTTGCACAAAATATGTGAATAATCCAAGTTGGTTCAGATTTAATGCACGGAAATACATTGACGGCGAATTTGGATGATACTTGAATCCGTTTTGAATCTGAAGGCCAGTAGCTACAGCTCGGGCCCTCCGAATCAATGGAAAGAAGCCGACGCCAGTATGGAAGGACTTAGTAAGTTAAATAGCCCCGTTAGCACAGAGGGCTCCGGATGGCAACGTGCAGTCCATCGGAACAATTGAAAGTAACCCGTAGAGGCCTATCGAGCATCGAAAATGCTCGACGGGTTCATAAACAGTGTCTTTGGACAAGAACGAAGGGCCTTACTCAAATGGGAATACGTTAGACTGATGTAGAGGGCTACTGGAGGTCAAGAAGTCTCTGGTCTAACTTATAAGGCTACGGAAATGGCGTGACGGAAAATTTGGATGGTGCTTGAATCGGTTTTAAATCTGAATCGGTCAAGCAAAAATCTGTCAGTGAACATGGAAAGTGTCAAGGTAACCGATAAGGCCACTGGCTACAGCTCGGGCCCTCCGACGATGCCCTTCGAGCATATAGCAAGGACCCGACAGCACCGTGAACGGCTCAGGACAATCGCAAATCCCTTGGCAGTCCCAATCCCCATACAAACAGTGGTGGATCCAGTATTTTGTCAAGGGAAAGGGGGACGCAACATTGTGGGGCCCCCGGAGGCTCCGGCCCCTCCAAACAAGATGTTCTCTTATTCTGTCAATTCAATTTGAAGATGTATATGAGTGCTTTTCTATTATTACAAAATATTTTTGCATTCAAAATGTGTCAAGAACGTGACATAAGAGCATAATAAGTGCTAGAAATTCGAACACCGAGGGAAATTCGTGTCACCATGTTGGCAGCGAATGAGATCATCTTCGGCACTTGCGCATACAAATTGATCGGGGTATACTCGACCGATGCTCTAAGGTTAAGGCGGCAAGGGTATCGGTCATTGTGAAAATCTCGGACGTGTGTGCATGAATTAACTTAGCCAAGCCGGTGCAAACGAGCGAGCGAGGCGCCCTGGCGCTACCAGCGCATGTGGGTCTTTCAGCAACAAGTATCAGTCCTCTAACTTTATCAGAAGGGTTCACGACCAATGTGGAGCGATTAAGTGTCAAGTGTCAAGATCGACCCCGGCACGATCAAAAGTGGCCCAGCAGTTTAACGCATATGGCCCCGGACAGAGCTCAGGGTCCTTAAGAGTAAAAGGGAAGTGCCCAAGACCGGAATAGATGAATCAATGTCCTTGAATGATCGAGAGCAGGGCTGTCATTTTGGAAGAATATTGGCGGCCGCGGGGGGGGCTCCTCTTTGAAGGCCCTCTTTATTTTGATGAAGGGTGATATATCTTTTTAATCCTGGTATAAGCTATAAAAGTATTTGTCATACAGGGGTGACTCCAGGGAGCACGTACTGGACGCAAGCGCCTCTTCCGATCGGCAAATGAAGGCGCCTCTTTAATAGCCGCCACGTTGGGGCTCCAGTGGCGCTCGTCTATTGCGATCATGGGAGGCGGCACGCATTTTGGTGATGAGGTCGGGGAGGTTAGAGGTTAGGAGAGGATAGGGTTAGTCGTAAAAGACTTAGGCCACTCCCACATTCCAGAGCTTTTCGCTTT